AATTTAAGCTGTTTGCGATTCTTCTCGAGAATTCGTTTGTTGGTGGTTTTTACTTTTCTTCCCTGAGGCATTGCTTTACGCTAGACTTTGGAGCAGCCTGCTGTAGTGGGAGGTGTTTCTACTCGTGGCAGGGGGTTGGGACTAGATGATCTTTAAGGTTCCTTAACATTCTGTGATCCTGTGATTCTGTGACTTGGATTTCCTGCTGTGAAAATAAAAGCAAACAAACAACAAACTGCTCTGCGCTTAAACTAGTCCACGACTTGACTTTAAGGCACAGCAGAGGTTCAGAGGTGTGGGAAGATGCTCTTTGGGAGCTATGGCTGACACAGAAGCAGTTAGCATGGGTTTGGATCTCTTTGTTTCCAGGCTCCCAGTGAAGCCTAAGGAGGTGTTTGAATGGGAGTTGGTTGTTTCACTGTGATTTTGTACAGCCCAAATAACTCGATGTCTCTTCAGGGTCGTTCCTAGGTGATCTCCCCAGGAGTATCAGTTACTTGCGCTATTGAAGTAACTTGAGAAGACACAAAGAATCATTACAGTGTGCTGATATTTTTGGGTTTGCTGTCTCTCTTGGGTTTTTTTCTTTAATCAGTTCAATGTTTAATGCCTGAGATTTTTGGCTTCGAGGCACTCTCTGTTGAATTAAGAGACCTGAATTAGCTGGTGACCTCTGAAGAAATTAAAACCTAATTAAGTGGCTAAACAGGCTTCAGAGTGAGTAACAGAACTGCAGGAGGTGCAGTGTATGACACTGTCTCGTTCGTGTTGACTCGTGAGTTTGCAGCAGCAGATGCACTAACCTTGTTTTTTACTAATTTGTGTTTCACAAAGTCACAGAATCAATCAGGTTGGAAAAGACCTCTGAGATCATCAAGTCCAGCTTAGTGCCATGGTCTAGTTGTCATGGTGCTGTTAGGTCCTAAGTGCCACATCCAGTCTCTCCTTAAATATCTCCAGGGACGGTGACTCCACCACATCCCTGGGCAGTCCATTCCTGTGTCTAATCACCCTTTCTGTTTCAGGCTCTGCTGTCCTGGCTCTCCTGTTAGCCAGCTACCTAGCACAGCAGTACTTGCCCATGCCCACTCCCAGGGTGGTTGGGATTGACCTTGGCACCACTTACTGCTCCATCGGCGTCTTTCTTCCTGGGACAGGCCAGGTGAAGGTCATTGTGGATGAGAATGGGCACAACAGCATCCCAAGTGTAGTCTCCTTCACAGACAGAGGTGTGTTTGTGGGATATGATGGCCTAGAACTGGCTGATGAATATCCTCAGAACACCATTTATGATGCAAAGAGATTCATCGGGAAAATCTTCACTTCAGAAGAACTGAGAAGTGAAAGTAGCAGGTATCCCTTCAAGGTAAGTTCTGTCCCAGCAGGAAGCTGTAGGGCACAATCCAGGCTGGAGAGATGAGCACCCCTGCCGAGAAGGACTTGGAGGTGCTGGTGGGTGAAAGGCTGGATATGAGCCACAATGTGCACTCACAGCCCAGAAACCAGCTGTTTCCTGGGCTGCATCCAAAGCAGTGTGGGCAGCAGGGTGAGGGAGGGGATTCTGCCCCTCTGCTCTGGTGAGATTCCACCTGGAGTGCTGCATCCAGCTCTGGGGTCCCCAGCACAGGAAGGGCACTGACCTGTTGGAACAAGTCCAGAGGAGGGCTGCAAAGATGATCAGAGGTTTGGAGCATGTGTCCTATGAGGAAAGGCTGAGAGAGTTGGGATTGTTCAGCCTGAAGAAGAGAAGGCTTCAAGGTGACCTAATTGTGGCCTTCCAGTACCTGAAGACAGACTACAAGAAACATGGAGAGGGACTATTTACGAGGGTGTATAGTGACAGGACAAGGGGGAATGGCTTCAATCTGAAAGAGAATAGGCTTGGATTGGCTATTGGGAAGAAATTCTTTGCTGTGAGGTGGTGAGGCACTGGCACAGGTTACCCAGAGAAGTTATGGATGCCCCATCCCTGGAAGTGTTCCAGGCCAGGCTGGATGGAGCTCTGAGCAGCCTGGTCTAGTGGAAGGTGTCTCTGCCCATGGCAGGGGTTTGGAACTAGATGATCTTTAAAGTCCCTTCCAACCCAAACCATTCTGTGATTCCATGACACCCAAAATTTGTACTTGTTGATTTGGTGAAATGCTAATTGTGCTTTGCTGAAACTTCACTTCTCTCCTGAAATTCTACAAAAAAAACCCAAAAAGTTTAAGTCACATCATCTCTGCCACAGTGCATTTTTCCCTCTAGTGCTTTTCTAGTGCTTACTTGACCAGCAGCAGATCTTGAAAGCTGTTTTTTTTTATGAAAAGAAGTATTGTATTAATTGAGCCTGTTGCAGAATTTGCTGGAAAGAGACAACTAATCAAGTACTGCAAGTAGTCTCTGAATTCTTTCCTTGTTAAGAGAAGCTGTTCCAGTACCAAGCTGTTTGGTGAGAAGCTTTATCAGTAGAGTAAACTAGTGATTAAAAAGGATCACTTCTGTCTGTGAATGTGGTGTTGAAGTTGATTACACAGTTGCTAGAGCTTAACTTTTTTTATGTGTCTTACTGGGGCACAGTGGGTGCCACTTGTTCGGATATCCTCAGACCCTTTAAGTGACATCTTTTGCATAATACTCCTAATAAAGGAATAAAAGTGATTCAGGAAGTGGCAAAAGCGCATTCCTATTGTTCCAGAATAAAGAGATTATAGGTAAATGAAACATTTTGTGGGACAGGGTGGGAAAGCATAGGAAAGAGACTTCTCACTTATGGGCTGTGTTGCTTTGTACTTCTAGATTTTCAATAACAATGGAGCAGCTGAATTTTCTGTGACAGCTAATGAAACATTTCACATCACTCCAGAGCACGTTGGCTCTCAGCTGCTGCTGAAACTGAAGAGAATGGCAGAAGCCAACCTTGGAATGCCCATTTCCAAGGCTGTCATGTCTGTGCCAGCAGAGTTTGATGAAAGGCAACGGAATTCTACCATTAAGGCAGCTAACCTTGCAGGTGAGGTGTCTGTATCCCAGCAGTGTTCTAGGAAATCCTCAGGTCTGTTTCACTAATTGTGAGGTTTTTTGGGAAGGTATGGAAAGACTGAATCAGTGCCAGAGGAGCTTAGAATGGATTTATTGTGAGGAACAGCAGAGAACTCAACTCTTCAGCACCAACAGGTGCTAACGCAGGCATAAATAGATGGAAGTTTTACCTCAGGGAGGTATAGTCTTTTTGGTAATCTCCAATCAGGAGACTATGTAGAGCCCTCTTAGACAATAACGTAAACAGAAATAGAACATGTGAACTAACTCTCCTTAGCAAAAGTAATACTGAAGTAATGCTGAAGTAATACTACTGTAGGATTAAATAAAGAAAAGAGTTCATTGGGTATTACTGCTTAGAAAACTAGTTCCTTTAGATCTGATATTTTACTTGAGGTGAGTTTGGTTAAAAAAACCCAACAAGTACTGGCAAATGTCATTCTGATGTGAGAACTGCAGTTTTCTGAAGTGTACCTGACTCTTGCTTGTTGTCTCTGCTCTCTGTAGGGCTAAATGTTCTGCGAGTAATCAATGAGCCCACAGCTGCAGCTATGGCTTATGGACTCCACAAAGCTGATGTGTTTAATGTCCTGGTGGTGGATTTGGGTGGAGGAACTTTGGATGTGTCTCTGTTGAACAAGCAGGGAGGGATGTTCCTCACAAGAGCCATGGCAGGTGAGAAAAATGCTATTACCTCTCAAGGAAGGGAGGAAAGGTGCACCCAAAATCGCCATTGGAGACGCTCTTTAAAACATACCAGCTGTGTTACAAAGTGTTCTCCCAAGTGCATTCTCAGCTGCCTTTCATGGAAATCAGGTTTGTGACTGGTTTCAGCAATTGAGATCACAGAATCACAGGTTTTGGCTGACTCAAACGGGTAAGTTGTGGTTGCATTTTATCCATGGCTGTTAACTTTTGTGCCCACTAGTAAACTGCTGGTGCATATTACAGCTACTTTGACTGGACTTTTGTGGGGCTGGAGTTGTTACAAACCTTTCTGTTATCTTTGTCCAACAGAGAATACTTGCCAAGTCATTGACCAATGCTAAAGCACATCCTTGCCTTGTGTTTGGTGCCAGCTCAATTGAGCAGGGTTTGGGAATGCACATGCTTTTAGCCTAGGAGTAAGTTTTGTGATTGGTTTATGCCAGGGTGATTCATCACTTGGCACAGAATTGTGGCAGCAATGTTTGGTCAGACTGTACTGAATACACAACGGTGTTTCAGCTGACCTGGATGCAGATAGGTCTGAGGTGCAGTGCCAACTGTCTGATTGCCTTTGGCGGCAAGTTTTGATGTGAGCTGGTGCTGCTCAGTCCAGTAAGAGTGAAACAGCAAGAAAGATTCAGCAGCTTCATTCTGATTTATTTAGACAGAGTTCCACTAAGTGCATTCCTGTTTTCAGTCTAAGCAAAAGTTGGAAATAATTATATATTGTGCATTCTTCAGTGGACAACATTTTTGTCTATTTTTGCTGCTCTGTGCTTGTACTTGTGTGATTGTTCTGGCCTTGAGCACCATCTCCCAGTGAAAGAGCAGCAGTGTTGCTGCTTTCTGTAGCTTTGAAGATGATGTGTTTGATGCCTTCTATTCTGATCTTTCAGGCAACAACAAACTTGGAGGACAGGATTTCAACCAGAGGTTGATGCTGTATTTATATGATCAGCTCTATGAAAGGTATGGTTCTCTGCCCACACAGAAAGAAGAGATCCATCGCCTCAGGCAGGCTGTAGAAGCTGTTAAATTAAACCTGACTGTTCACGAGGCAGCTACACTAAGGGTGGTATTGACTCTGCCAGAAAGCAAGCTTACAAAAGGACTTCCAGAAGGTGAGGTAAGAAGAAACAGTGCACTGAAAGGGAAACCTTCACAGAAAACAGAAGGTTTGAACAATCTTGGACATGCTTCAAAAGCAGAGAACAACTTTGTTGAAGTTGTGTTTGAAAAGGAAATCTCTCGGAAGCTGTTCGAGATGCTAAATGAGGACCTGTTTGAGAAGATTCTTGTGCCCATTGAAGAAGTGCTGAAGGAAGGTCACCTACACAAAGCAGAAGTGGATGAAATTGTGTTGGTCGGAGGCTCCACACGGATTCCCAAAATACGTAGAGTTATTCAGGACTTCTTTGAAAAGGAACCCAACACCTCTGTAGACCCTGACCTGGCAGTTGTGACAGGTGTGGCCATCCAAGCAGGAATTGTTGCTGGGTCCTGGCCCCTCCAAGTAAGCGCTATAGAAATCCCTAACAAGCATTTACGGAAGACTAATTTTAACTGAATTGCATTCCAGGTCTCCAAAAGTGTGCTCTGAGGGTGCATACTTACCTGACTGTCAGTGGAGCCTAATCTTAGCCCTGTTCTATTCAATTTATATCTGTTCCAGTTAGGTGTTACTGGACACCCAGCTGTGATAAAGCTAAATGTTATTTTAAAGGTACAAGCAAGTTCTGAAGTGTCTTGGTTTTACTTGGAGAAGGGATATTGTATGAAAATGCTAGTGATGACACACCCACATTTTCTTGCTAAATTTTCTTAGCAAATCCTGGAGTGATGCGTGTTTAAAATACAAAGGGAGTGTGACCAAAGGTTGGAGACAACATGGTACTATAAGTATTCCTAGGTCCAATATATTTACTCTGAATGACTGTGAAGCAGTGTTAACGCACACGGAACAGGCAGTGTTCAGCTTACAGTTTTTTATTAGATTGAGCCATTTGAGCATTTAAGCACCTTTCTAAAAGGCACGTTGCAGCCTGAGTGAGACTTCCACATTTGCCTGATTCTTCTGCTGTTCATAACAGCACAATGGTTTTGCTGGGGCTCTATGGCAAATTGTCATTTGTTTCAGGAAACCTTACTGAAAACATAGCTTTTGCCAGTGCAGTTACTTGGTGCATCTCCAAGGGCTGAATTCTTGATCTGGCTGTGATGGTTAACACACAGGTGCTGCTGTCATAAAACTGATGTTCTCCACAGAGAACGACAGTATATTGCCAAATATTCAGACCTCCCCCTGCCTTATTTTAAAACTGTGGTAATTTTGTGTATCTTAAAGCCACACCTGCCTGTCTGCCCTTGAACTTGACCAACACAAATTTCATGATTGTGCATCTACAAGTGTGTGATGTCTTTCCCCTGAAGCAACTCAAGCTGTATTGTCCTCAGGGAGAAAGTGTGGGGTAGAAGGGATGGCCAGGATGACATCTAGTTCCTGTAGTCCTCGTAAATGAAAATTGACTCAACTACTTTGTACTTTTTAGCTCATACTTCTGGTTTAAGTGCTGTCATATCCCCACTCGAAACTGAATGGAGGTTATTGGGAAGAAAGCAGTGTGTGTAACTTGGGATTTGAGGTGGCACTTCTTAGGACTCTGTATTAGGCAAATAGCTATCTATGAAATTGCATAAGGAGAAAAAAAGTCACAGATCTGAAAAAAATCCTGATTAGTGACAGTTGTGCTCTTGTCAGAGGGATAAATCTATACTTAAAGGTCTGTTAAATTCTTTTATCTGTGTAGAATTTCCTACAGCAAAAACACGTCATTCAGCTAAGACTGTCTTCAACATTCATCAGCCAACTCAAGTAACAGGTAGTTCTAAGCATTTTATTGTCTTCTACAGAATAATTTTGTTTGTATTAACCTTGCCAGGATAAAGTATGGGGCTTAAGATTTATTATTTTAACCTATGACTTTATTAAAATGGGCTTATTACTCTCCTGGCAGTAGGCTGATTCAGCTGTTTGCACAACTATTGTCTAAAAGTATCTTTGAAGTAATCCAATTAAAAACCTCTTAAATTGAATCATAGTTGCCCACAGCCATTCCATCAGCATTGTTTAACTCGACAGAGGATTCCCAAAATACTGCTAACATCTATCTGTTTCATTTCCCTGAGTTGGAAACCAGAGTTTCGTTTTTTCATTTGAGGATTCTTTCTACCTTTGTGCCTCTTTGCAAGTGACCCCACCTAAGTCTATATGGAATTTCCAGTAACTGAAACTCCTGCTGTGAAAGAAGTGCCTCTTCAGTGAAACCGTGGGTGAATGCCAACATGCAGTACAGTCCTCAGTTGGTGTTTGGAGCCTTTGCTTTGCAGATACAAATGTGTGTGTTCAGCATATAGTCCAATGTCTTTAGAGTCATTGTGGCCTTTCCTTCTGCTCTGTGGTAAATTCATCTCAAAATCTACTGGAGTTACAGTAGGGCTTCAGTTGTCTTGATTTTTTTTTTTTTAATGCACTCTGTAAACCAAGAATACTTGGGTAAAAATAGAGCCACATCACAGTTAAATGATTAAAAGCCTTTGCAGTTTTTGACAAGTTAAGTAGGAGTATGGGAGTAACTTTAAACTGTTAAACTCTCAAGGCACATAAATGAAGCACCTTTTTTCTTTCACATACTTCTTTGCTCTGGAGGAGTTAAATCTTCTTCAGCATTAATCTGGGAATCGGAAGGGAATGGTGAATTGTTTACTTGTAAAGAATTCACAAAAGGCTATTTATTCAGATTTCTATTCAGGTTTTTTTAGTAGAGAAGTTACTGTACATTAGATATCTCACAATACATCCTTATTTATTAAATAACTTTTTTGAATTCTGCAAATTATTTATTTTTTAGCTTTTAATATTGTATTTTGGCACAAACCATTGAATTTTAAAGATGAGTCCACTGTACTAAGGGGATATTTCCATGTATGCACATGGGTTGCTTACCAAAAGTTTCTCTTTAGACAAATTGATATTTGAAGGCTGAAATCTTTCTCTAATCCTTGAAATCTATAAATCTATGGTTGCCTGTGATGTGTAACAAATTTCTATAGCTAAAGCTTGTTTTGTGAGTTGAAATTCTGAAAGTATTAAGAGGCCTCAACAGTTGTATCTTCCTGAATTGTTTCCCAGTGCAGATGATGAAATGCATTTTACAAATAACATTTTAGAATGTTTTTAATAAAAACAATTTCTGTTCCTTGGACTTACCTTGTTTCATTTTCTCAAGGAAATACTGTAACAGCACTATTTCTCTGTCTTCCTTAAACTCCTTTGAATGGTAGAGGATGAAGTTGTAATCCCTTAACTTGTCGAGTTGTTTCTGCCGTTCCCATGAGGGAAAGGAGTGGTTTCCCCTTCTTTGCAGTTTCTCCTGTGAAACTGCCAGGAAGGTGCACAGTGAGGGCAACAGGCAGGACTTGAGAAGATGGTGCCTGTGGGATTTTTGAATGCTGTGAGGAAGTAAGTTGAAGCAGAGCATAAAGCAGGTTCTGCTTCATGCTCCTTCCAGTGGAAAGGAAAACCAGAGTCATGGTGCCCTTCTGAACCCTATTCTCATTTCAGCTTCATCTGACTCAACTTTCCTGGGATTCTTTCACAATGGGATTTTGTAATGCTCAAGTAGATACATAAGATGTGGGTTTCAGTTATTCAGAAATCACACGGTCAAAAGGCACATTTATTGCCTCAAGAATTACCTGCATATACATCCAAATATGCATGTCCTAAAAATCAGCCCCAAGTTACATCTCTATATGTCCACACAATAAGCAGTTTGTATTTTTCCCCAAACATGTAATCATAATAAGAATGAATTAACTAAATGAGCATAATGCCAGAGCAACTTAATTAAGTACTATTTTTTAATTAAGACCAGCATGTGAACAGTAAGATTTATTTTTCATCAGTCTTTACAAGTGCAAGAGTTAACATATGCCATAACAATTACTGCTTCATTATGTTGTCCCAGTGCCAATCTGATTAAAAGAAGTGATTTATATAAAATCTGACAGTTATTTTAAGAAACCTGATCAATACATATACAGATTGTAGCCTTAATAAACAGCACTGCTGTGAGGAGCTCTTGAGTATGCTAGTTAGTTTATATGGAATATAAAATGTTGTATAAAATATTCAAGTGTTCCTTAAGAATTCATTTGTTTATCATCTTACCCCAACCTCTGCAACCATTTCAGAAAAGGCACCTTTTTGTTGTAACAAATTCTGTGGTGTATCATATTCTAGAATCCTTCCTGCATCCAGAACAAGCACTCTACAATGCAAAAGCAGAAAGATTAAGTGAGAAGAAAAATCAGCTCTTATGTTTTCCAGTCCTAATACAGATATTCCTGGGTAACGGGGAAGTGTTATTTAGAAGATGTATCATTGCACTAGGTAATTCATTGTCTTCTATAGCTAGGAACTCCTATGTGTAAGAAAGTCTTTTGGAAAGTATAGTCCACTTACTGTAGAGAATGAAGGTGTCTTGATAGGAGCTTATACCTGTCCCTTAGCATGAAAATTATAAAATTAATTCTATAATTAGAAGGAGGAAATGACATAGGTTATCAGTATTTAATTAATGATGCTCAAGTCTTTTTTTGATACCTTGGGTTACAAAGGTAACAAAGACATCAAGGTAAAAAGTGTTGGGAGTGTAAACTTCAGGAAGTGACAACTCATGCATTTCAAGGAATTAATTTATTTTTCAAATGGCTTACTTACCTCTCCAAATCCATGACTGTATGTAACCTGTGTGCTGTAGTTAATACTGTGCAGTTGTGGAACTCTCTTTTGATGGTAGACTGCACAAAGCTATCAGTGTCCATGTCAACTGTTGCCTCATCTAGGACCAGGATTTTTTGTCTTTTGTAGCAAACCATAGGGACAGACAGACCAACTGTCTCTGCCCAATGCTGTTAAAAACATATTTGTGAAGGTCAGGTCAGGTACATGGAAGAAAGGGAGAAAAAGATAAAGCTGAGATTACTGAGAAGACTGTAGTATCTTTCTTAACAAGACTTTATACTTCTGAAAAGACTAGTGAAATAAGTTCACCTTGTTTTTGGAAGTTTTGATTTTTTCTTGCTCACCCTATCAATAGTAGTTAAGCTGTGACTTTTCAACACCTGTGGCTGAACTTTGTGGCATAAACCTGGTCCTGTCTTCAGTTTCTATATTCACATTTTAATGAGCACTCTGAATAAGCCAGACAGAATGCTAAACCACATTTTAATAATGTTCAGTGTAAAAGTTTGGATACTCCTACATGTTAGCTGTGGTATGTGCCTTCTAGAAATGTCCTCCTGAAAATGATCTGTCAACAAAATTCAGGTTGATATTCGGGACACTCCTTTTAAGACCTGCCCCTTTGCTGTTGAAAGTTTCAGTATTTGTCTCCTTGAGTTCTGAGTCCTTTTATTTCAAGTGTCATCCTCTTTGCAAAACTATGACTTAATGTTTTACAAGGAAAAACTGAGTTGCTTTGTCTAAGCAAATAAAGCAAAGGA